ACGAATAATGCGCGACGAGTCGCAACGACAGACAGGTTCGTCGTATTTCTCTTTTGCAGTTTCTTTCGTCGATTCGACGATTAATTAAATCCGAGAACAGGGACACTCGATAGGAGATAACGTTTGTCCAAAGTTCCGCGAGAGACTCAACAACTCGAAAGCACGTGAACGGTTTCTCCCGTTGCATGACGCCCTATCAAACCTTATCTTCCCGGTATGATAGGTATGATAGGTATATATATATGTATGTAACTCCGCCAGGAGGATGGCGAGAAAAGATATCCACCGGAGACGGAAAGAAGCGGATTTAATCCGCTTACGCGTGTAAGCGACGAACGTGCTCGATAATTGCATTAAACGGCGGTCGTAGAGGCGCGAATCACCGCCGGGAGACATCAACGCCCGATAATTCTACACACCACGAAGAAGACCAACACGCCGAGTCAAGAAGAAGAAATCTTCTCCGAGTATTTTGCCAAGGTGGTGTCAATTGCCGCCGCTCTAATCGACTGAACAATGAACGGTTGCAACCGAGGTGCAATAGGTCGATCGTGAGCTGAGATCTGAACGATGAGATCATCGGCGAGCACTCGACCAATTCCTGTTCTCCTTACTTTTCATCTTCACCGGATTTGGATTTTCGTGTTCGTTTGGAAATTGGACAGAAATACGGCAACGTTGAAAGAAATTCACCCGCTCGAAAGAGGGGTGAAGGTTTGTGTTTTTAAACGAAATGGGTGTGTTATAATTATAATTTAAGCATGACTGATAATAGTATTCCGAATGAAATATTTATTTTTATTAATAAATATTATTATTATTAATAAATATTATTTTTATTTAATTTTTAAATTATTTTTATTAATAAATATTTATTAATAAATATTTATTTTCATTAAGGTGCCCGAAATTCTTGAATTACGAAGGTTATTGTGAATTATGAAGGAGTTATCAGTGGAAATGATATTGTTTCAAATAATTGCTCATATTTTGGAAAATGTACAGTTGATCGAAGCGAGAATAAAAAATTGGTTAAAAAATTCGAGAATAAAACAATCAAGTACCTGACAACGTTATCTCTTTATTCATCTATTTGCGAGTGTCATCCTCTACCGCATCTATTAAATTTCGAGAACTACACCAACGTGCAGCCAAAGTAACTCGCAAAGTAACGACGAGCAACTCTGGCACGAGTCATTTACTCAGATTCAAGAGAGAGGATCGACGAGACGACAGACGACGAAGCTGGGCGACGAAGACGACGTCCACGACGACGACGTTAGAAACACACGGGTGGCGTCTCTCACGCACGCAGAAACGCAAACCGGAGCACATGGGAGTCCGCCGGTATAATATTACAGGGCTCGAGGCACTAGGACTCTCTAACTCCTGGGTGTTCGTTGCTCGTTTCTATACCGGGTGGCTCGCATCGATCGCGCGAGCCAACGCCGCGGGCGAAAATATCGATTTCGCCGTCTATTCGACCTATCCCCCGCTGATCAATAAACCGAGGCAGCCAGTGCTCGACGCAACTGTCGACGCGACACAACGACGACATCCCAACCGCACCGGAGCCAGTCTTTTTTTCCTTCCTGTTCGCTGCTGCGACAGTTGTAAAAATATTACACGCTCGTTTAAACAGGGTGGGCCGTTTCCCCTCTGTCCCTTTCGCTTCGGATTCGCTTCGCGGTGGTCAGTTTAGGTTCTCGGCTCTAAGCGAGGAATTGCGAAAAATTAGGGAGGCGAGGGAGGGCAGTAGTAGTTTCTCTTAGGCCTTGGCTTAGGTCAGGCGACAAAAGCCGCGATTTTTAGGATTTCTTCCAGCTTCTCGGAACCTGTCCACCCACCCCGTCGGCGGCACAAACGCACAGGATTCCCACGGAACCTCCCCGGAACCTGGTTTCTACTACTAGGCCCACCGTGATGAAGTGCGCCGAGAAGGAGAGGACGAACTGAAACATCCCGACTAAAAACTCCGACCACCTAGATCGAAGGTGGGCAAAGACGATAATAAACCTGCACGATGAAAAACAACGACCATTCTTCTCTCTCTCTCTAGCTTGTTTACTGGTCGGGAGTAGTTTCGATTCGCCACGCGACACCCGGTATAACGAGGAGACCAGTCGAAAGTGGAGAGCAAGAGAGTGGGAGGTCGTTCAGAGGCCAGGGCTCAGGGCGAGGAAGAGAGAGAGAGAGAGAGAGAG